TATATTCCTAATGCTAATACGATTTTGTGTTCAATTTGAACCATTGTCATTCATATAAAATCAGTTTAAGTTCTTTGACACTTATGTTTAATTCTGAAATATATTAAGGTTTAGTTAATTCAAATTTACACTTTTTTTTAAATTATAGATGAGACTAAGAAAAGTAAGAAAAGTCAAGCAACACCAAAGACTCCTGCACCAAGTTCCAGTAGTAAATCTCGCTCAAGAAGTAGGCAGCAGCAGAAAAATGTAGAAGAGGAAAGTGCAGAAGAAGTTGAGGAGGAAGAGGAGGAGGAGGAAGAAGAGGAAGAAGAAGAAACAACTAAAACACCAGAACGTAGAAGTCGATCAAGAACACAAGCTATTAAAACTGCAGCTAAAGCTCCTGAGGTCAAGAAAGAAAAGGCTACATCTGCCCGAAGAAGCAGAGCTCAAGGCAAGGAGGAAAGTGTTAAAGAGGAAGAGGTAGAAGAACCAACAAAAGCTAAATCTGAGAAAAAGAAACCTCCAAAAAAACAGGAACCAGAACCAACTGATGATGGCGGTGGTGGGCGCACATCAAGGAGTCGTCGAGCTGCAAAGGTTGAAGAAGTGGTGAAAGAGCAACAAGTTACAGCAAGACCTATGAGATCCAGAAGTAGGGGCCAGGTGAAGAAAGAAGAAGAACCATGTGTTGAAGTAGCAGCGGAAGGTAGAGCGTCAAGGGCTAGGAAAGTTGTGAAAACAGAGGATGAAAATGAACCCAACAAAATTGAAAATGTTATGCAAGAAGATTCACGTGAAAAAGATATTAAACAATCTAAAAGGACTACACCAACCAAAAGGGGCCAGCTACAAAGCAAGAAGCTCGAAGAACCAAAAGTTGTGGCTGGCTCAGGGTCAAGTAAAATTAAGGAAGATGAAGCTCCAAAATCTCGTAAACGAAGTAATGCCGAAGTGGAAAAATCACCAGAAAATGTACCATCATCTAAGAAAAGACGACGAAAAGTGACTGATGATGATACTGTAGATGAAGAAAAGGTAGCAGAATCTTCTCCTGTTAAAGACAAAAAGAAAGAATCGCCCACTAAAAAACAAACTAGTGCTGTGTCTGTTGAACCAAAACCAAAGGAAATGCATAGTAAGAAGAAAGCTGAAATTTCTGTTGTGAAAGAGGTAGCTAAAGCACATGATGTTGAAATGGCAGATGCTGAGAAATCAAGAACTGAAACAGATATGGATGTTGATATGAAAGAGGACAAAGATGCTGATAAAATATCACCAAGAACCAGTCAAAGGAAACGAGGATCACAAAGTCCATTGAAGCAAAAAGAATTAGCGGCATCAGCAATGGAAAACAAAAGTAAAATATCTTTGACAACTTGTGCAGTAATAGAGGAACCAAAAGTACAAGCTGGAAGTTTAATCAAATCATCTGATAGTTTAGATTCATCAAAGAGCCCTTTAAAATCAACCACAGAAACTGTACAGTTGTCAAAAAGCCCTGTTAAATCAAGTAATGTAGGGTCATCTAAAAAGTTACCTCGTAGTACAGATTTGATGAAATGCCCTGTTGAATCCATTAGTGAAGGTTCAGATTTGTCAGAAAGTTCTGTAAAATTGTCAGAGAGTGTAGATTTGCCAAAAAGCCCCACAAAAGCACTGGGTGCAACAAATTTGCCAAAGAGCCCTACAAAATCAAGTGGAACAGAATTGTTGAAAAAACCTGGGAAAGCACTGGGTGAGACGGATTTGCCCAAAAGCCCTGCCAAAGCACCTGGTGAGACGGATTTGCCCAAAAGCCCTGCCAAAACACCAGGTGGGACAGATTTGCCCAAAAGCCCCAACAAGGCAACAGGTGAGACTGATTTGCCTAAAGTTCTTATCAAAGACTCTGCTGAAACAGCTTTGTTACAGAGTCCATCCACAGCAGAAGACACACCAGATTCATCAAAGAGTCCTGTTACTATAGACCTGTCAAAAAGCTCTCTGAAATCAAGTGGCATGGATTTGACAAAAACTCCTGATAAGCCACCAGTTACAATGGAGTCATCAAAAAGTCTTGCCAAGTCGCCTATTAGTACAAATAAATCAAAAAGCACTACCAAATCTTCCATGGCAGTGGATGTGTCAAAAGGCACAACAGTAGCAATTGATTCATCAAAAAAAAGCCCAGTCAAGTCTTTTGTGGCTTCAGATGAGTCGAAGAGCTCTGCTAAGGTCCCTCCAACAACTGATACATCTCAAAACCTAATTGAGAGCTCTGTTAAAGCTTCTGTGGCCTCTGAATTGGTGAAAAGCCCTGTGAAGTCCCCTGTATCCTTGGAAACAGTAAAAAGCCTTGTCAAGTCTCCTCTGGCCTGTGAAGCAGCAAAAAGCCCTGTCAAGTCCCTTGTGGCCTGTGAAGCGGCAAAAAGCCCTGTCAAGCCTCCTGTGTCTTCTGAAGAGGCAAAAAGCCCTGTCAAGCCTCCTGTGTCTTCTGAAGCGGCAAAAAGCCCTGTCAAGTCTCCTGTGTTTTCTGAAGCAGCAAAAAGCCCTGTCAAATCTCCTGCAGCCACTGAAGCAACAAAAGGCCCTGTCAAATCTCCTGTAGCCTCGGAAGCAACAAAAATCCCAGTCAAGCCTCCTGTGTCTTCTGAAGTGGCAAAAGGCCCCGTCAAGTCTCCAGTGGCCACTGAAGTGGCAAAAGGCCCCGCTCCAGTGGCCCAGTGGCCACTGAAGTGGCAAAAGGCCCCGTCAAGTCTCCAGTGGCCACTGAAGTGGCAAAAGGCCCCGTCAAGTCTCCAGTGGCCACTGAAGTGGCAAAAGGCCCCGTCAAGTCTCCAGTGGCCACTGAAGCGGCAAAAGGCCCCGTCAAGTCTCCAGTGGCCACTGAAGCAGCAAAAGGCCCCGTCAAGCCCCCTGTGGCCACTGAAGCGGCTAAAAGCCCCGTCAAATCTCCTATTCCCTCGGAAGCGGCAAAAAGCCCTGTCAAACCTCCTGCCATCATGGAAAGAGAACCTGCCCAGCCACTGGCTGTCACAGAATTGTCAAAAAGCCCTGCAAAGCATGCTGCTGTCATGGAAGTGCCAAAAAGCCCTGTCAAGTTGATAGCTGTTACAGAAACTGCGAAAAGCCCCACGAAGCCTCTCGCTGTCACAGAAGTGGTGAAAAGTCCTGTCAAACTGCCAGCTGTTACAGAAGCTGTGAAAAGCCCCGCTAAGCCACTCACAGTCACAGAAGTGGTGAAAGGTCCCGTCAAGCTGCCAGCTGTTACAGAATCTGCAATAAGTCCCATCAAGTCTTTGACTGTCTCGGAAACATCGAAAAGTCCTGTCAAGCCTCTGGCTGTTTCGGAATTGGCAAAAAGCCCTGTCAAGCCTTCCACTGTCTCGGAATCATCGAAAAGCCCTCTGTTTCTTGGTGTTTCCAAAGACCCTCTTAAATCTCCAATTGTGGCAATGAGTATGTCAAAAAGCCCCGACAAGTCACCTGTGGCTATGGATGTGTCAGAGAGCCCCATGAAGTCACCTGTGGCTATGGATGTGTCAGAAAGCCCCATGAAGTCACCCGTGGCTATGGATGTGACAGAAAGCCCTGACAAGTCTCCTATATCTATCACAGTACCAGTGGCGATGACTGCGTCAAAGAGCCCCATTAAGTCTCTTGCAACGGCAAATTTGCCAAAGAGTACTGTCAAGTCCCCAGTGGACACTGATGTGTCAAAAAGACCTGCCACATCCCCAGTGGACACTGATGTGTCAAAAAGACCTGCCACATCCCCAGTGGACACTGATGTGTCAAAAAGACCTGCCACATCCCCAGTGGACACTGATGTGTCAAAAAGACCTGCCACATCCCCAGTGGTCACTGATGTGTCAAAATCCCCTGTTAAGTCACCAGCGGCCACTGATGCATCCAAAGGTCCTGCCAAGCCACCAATAGCTACAGATGTGTCCAAAAACCCCGTCAAGCCACTAGCAGCCACTAATGTGTCCAAAAGCCCTGTCAAACCTCTAGTGGCCACTGATGTATCCAAAAGCCCCATCAAGCCTCTAGCAGCCACCAACGTGTCCAAAAGCCCCGTCAAGTCTCTAGCAGCCACTGACGTGTCCAAAAGCCCCGTCAAGCCTCTAGCAGCCACCGACGTGTGCAAAAGCCCCGTCAAGCCTCTAGCAGCCACCGACGTGTCCAAAAGCCCCGTCAAGCCTCTAGCAGTAACCGACGTGTCCAAAGGACCTGTCAAGTCTCTAATAGCTACTGATACATCCAAATGTCCCACCCAGCCTCCGGCATTCACTGATGTGTTCAAGCCTGCAGCAGCCAAAGGTCTCGTCAAGCCTCCAGCAGCCACCGATGCGTCCAAAGGTCCCGCCAAGCCTCTTGCGGCCACCGATCGTCAAAGGTCCGCCAAGCCTCTAGCGGCCACCGATGCGTCAAAGTTCCCGCCAAGCCTCTAGCGCCACCGATCGCGTCAAAGTTCCCGCCAAACCTCTAGCGGCCACCGATGCGTCCAAAGGTCCCGCCAAGCCTCCAGCGGCCACCGATGCGTCCAAAGGTCCCGCCAAGCCTCCAGCGGCCACCGATGCGTCCAAAGGTCCCGCCAAGCCTGCAGCGGCCACCGATGCGTCCAAAGGTCCCGCCAAGCTTGCAGCTGACCACCCGATCGTCAAAGGTCCCGCCAAGCCTGCAGCGGCCCACCGACAAGTCCAAAGGTCCCGCCAAGCCTGCAGCGGCCACCGATGCGTCCAAAGGTCCCGCCAAGCCTGCAGACCGCGATGCGTCAAAAGGTCCCGCCAGAAAGCCTGCAGCGGCCACCGATCACGTCAAAGGTCCCGTAAGCCTGCAGCCCGACCACCGATGCGTCAAAGGTCCCGCCAAGCCTGCAAAAGTACCGATAAATCCAAAGCCTGCCTCCAGCGGCCACCGATGCTTCCAAAGGACCCGCCAAGCCTCCAAGCGGCCCCCGATGCGTCGGGTGCGCCAAGCCTGCAGCGGCCACCGATGCTTCTAAAGGACCAGCTGAAGCCTCAGCGACCGCGATGCTTCAAAAGACCATAAACCTCAGCGGCCACGATGCTTCAAAGGGCCGCCAAGCCTCCAGCGGCCACCCGCGTCAAAGGACCGCCAAGCCTCCAGCGGCCACGATGTGTCAAAGGACCCTTGAGAAGCCTCAGCGACCACCCGATGTGTCCAAAAGGACCCTTGAAGCCTGCAGCGGCCACCGATGTGTCCAAGGACCCATGAAAACTCCAGCGACCGTCGCACCCCAAAGGACCCGCGAAGCCTCCAGCGGCCACCGATGCACCCAAAGGACCCGCCAAACCTCCAGGGGCCACCGATGCGTCCAAAGGACCTGCCATGTCAGCATCTGTCATAGATGCATCCAAAAGCCCTGCCAAACTTCCAGCCCCCACTGATGGCTCAAAGGGCCCTGCCAAGTTTCCGGCGGCCACTGATGGGTCCAAAGTCCCTGGCAAGTCCCCAGCAGCCACCGATGTGTCGAAGGGACCCACCATGTCTACAATCAGAGATGCATCAAAGTGTTCCACCAAACTTCCAGCGGCCACTGATGCACCAAAGGATCTCCCCAAGCTACCTGCGGCCACTGATGTGTCTAAAAGCCCTACCAAGCATCCAGCAGCCACTGATGCATCCAGTTGTTTCACCAAGACCCCTGCTGCTACAGAAGCATCAAAACAACCCGTCAAGTTACTAGGCAGTGTTGACTTAATAAAGACTCCTCAAAAACAATCTGAACTTCCTGCAGCTTTTTCATCAAAGTCTGCTGTTGATCTTACAAAATGTTCTAAATCTGTTTCTGAAATTGACAAGACCTCTGTTAAATCAGTTTCTGAAGAACCTCTGACAAAATCTGGAGTTAGTAAACCGTCAATATCCACAGATGTTATTCCTCCAATTTTGGCAGCTACTACTAGTTCTTCACCAGTGAAGACTTCAAATGTCCTTGCTGTGACTACCACATCTTCAGCTGTACCTACTTTGAGTGTGAAGGCAGTTCCTTCTGCTGATACTTTGCCACGGAAAGATGAACAACAAGCGAAGTCCCCCATGGCTGGAAATAAGTCTCCAAATACCAATACTTCTATTTCACCAGTTTCAGGTATGTCTACTCAATCTCCTGTGACTTCAGTTGCAAGTGCCAACTCTCCCATCTGTCAACCAGTAGATTCCCTACCAGTTAAGTCATTTCCTACTCAGATTGCAGCAGGCATGTCTCCAGTTAGTGCTAAGCCTACAGTCACACATTCCCCTGTTTCTTCACCTAAGTCTCTACTTACACAGTCCAGTTCCCCTGTTATTTCTGGCATGTCACCATCCAAGCCACCTTATCAACCTGGTGGTGGATTGTCTCTGTCAAAATCTAGCACAGACTCATTGCAGTCATTTTCACAGATTAGTGGTGAAGCAATATCTGTTACACCTACAGATATATCAGTTTCAAAACCTGAATCAACTTTACCATCAAGCAGATCCCCAATTTTACAAGCTTCATCCATGTCAAGTAAATCTAGCACTCCATCAGAGATGGATATTTCATCTATCAAACAATCTGCTCTCCAAAGTGCTAGCCAGTCACCGACACAGCAACCATTACTTCAAAGTACCACGCAATCACCAGACACCACATTATCCCCAACAAGACAACCTCTAGTTCAAAGTACTAATCAGTCACCAACTCACCAACCAGTTACGCCAAGTTCTAACCTGTCACCGACCAGACAGCTTGTTGTGCAGGGCACTAATCTATTGTCAGCACAACATCCTGCTGTGTCAAGTGCCAATTTCACACCAATTCAGTCACCTATTGATCATGGCACCAATCTCTCACCAGTTCCACAGTCTGTTGGGCAAAGTGCTCATCTATCACCAACCCAACAGCCTGTTGTACAAAGTGCCAACCAAGGCACCAACCTGTCCTCAATAAAATCCTCTCCTGTGCCAAACCCCTATCATTCGCCTGTCAAATCCCCTGTAACATCTATAGCTTTAGAGCAACCTACTACAGCTTTAAAGGGTTCTGCTTCATCAGTGAAACCAGTTAGTCTTCTGTCTTCTGGAATTGTTCAAAATAAACCTGATGCTTCAAGCTCTGGATGTCTCAGTCCCACATCTCAGTCTGACTTTCAACAAAGCAAGCCTTTGCTTGTTCCAATAACAGGTTCTTCACACAGCAAATCCAATGTTGCTCATATTTCATCAATTTCCCCAATTAAATCTTCTGGACATTCAGAAAAACCAACCCTTACTGGTTCCTCTTCCCCTAAATCTGTTACTCCCACTAAGCTAACTATAACCAGTGAATCTGGAAGCTCCCCACTCAAACCTGTTGCTTCGTCAGTATCAAGTGGGTCTCCTACTAAACAGGTGGTACAATCTTCTAGTGTACCCACAGGCCAGTCAGGGACACAGTCTCCAACTTCTAAATCAACTTCATCTCCTGTATCCTCAAAATCTCAGCAACCAGTTGTACAGGAGACAAAAATCTCTTCATCTCATTCCGCAGCAATATCTGGCCTGAAACCACAGGTGACTCATGTTGCTGGCGGTGCCTCTAGCAAGCCTCTCGTTACACATATGACTGGTGTGTTGCCACAAAAATCCTCCAGCACCCAGTCTGCTGTCACAACGCCAATCAAAACTTCAAGTCTGTCCCAAAACAAATCTCAAGTAGGTTTCAGCACAAGTCCTCCAAAGCTCAGCACAGGTCAAGGATGCCCTAAAACACAGGTTATGCCAGGAAACCTTGTGGTTTCTAAGCCCTCAGTAAGTACAGGTAGTACACTTCCAAAATCTCAGCTCCACCATGAATCTAGTGGTATATCATTGAAGCCTCAGCAAACTTTGGGATCTATGGTTTCACCTCCCAAACCCCAAGTAACTCATATGGCTGGTGTTGCTGTTCATTCTCGGCCACAAGTTACTCATATGTCTGGTGTTGCCCCTCCAAAATCTCAGATGGGTCCCACTGATATTAGTTCTCATCCCAAACCCCCTGTTATGCATGTTACTGGATCTGCAGTACCAAAGTCTCTTGGGACAATTTCTACTAGTTTTTCTCCTTCTGTTGCAGCATCACCACCAAAGACTTCTTTACATTCTTCAGCCTCATTTCATAGCCCAATGCCAGCTGCTTCCACTGCAGATGTGTCCTCATTTTCAACTCAGCCTCTTTCAAAAAGTCCGTCAGTGCCTGTTACAAGTGCTGGAACTGGAAAATCTGTTGGGTCGCCATCCCTTGGAGGAGTGCAATCTGTTTCATCTCAGAAATGCTCTTCAGGAGCCTCAACTATAAGCGGGCAGCATAAGGCACAGCCTGATTCATCACTCGGACAACCTTTATCATCTACTGTTTCACAACAAATGACCTCATCAGCCCCAGCTATCATATCAAATATACAGTCCAGTCTGTCCTCACATTCACAAAAATCAAATGTATCGCCAACCAAGTCACCTGAGGCTAAAAAGCCAGTTAATACATCTGGTACATTAAACAAATCCATGCAGTCCTCGTCCACTGCTGGACAGCTAGTTGACACAAAGGCACAACCATCAATTTGTACTGTCAGCAAAACTCCTGATTCATCTTTGTCTACTTCCACGCCATCTGCAAAGTCATTGTTCACAACAGTAAGCAAAACTCCTTTGGAGAGTCAATCTAAAGTGCCTACTACCAATCTGCAAGCAACCATTCCAGTAATCAGTTCAACAGCAACTGTGGCAAGTAGTAAACCAATCAGCAGTAGCACCACCACCACCACCACTACTGGTGGTTCAGCACCTGTCCCAACTGTAACCATGCGAACAGGGCAAGTCCAGCCTAATGTGGAGCATTCACAACCACAAATTCAATCAGCTAAAACCTCCTCTGTGCCACCTGCTTCAGTGACTGTTGGAAATGTCCAGCAGACTGGAACTATTCCTATTCCATCACCACAACTGACAGATTCTTCTAAAGCCAGCAGCTCTTCTGATGGTGTGATTAATGGTGCTGGTGCCAAGACTTCAGCAAGTGTACAGGTTCAATCTTCAGAAACTAGCAAAAAGCGTAAGTTGGATTCAGAGGAAGCAGAAGAGAGTCATGAAGCTAAAAAGGCGCGTTATCCTCTGAAGATCCCAAATCTCTCATAGCCAATGGTCAGAAAGATAGTAGTAGTAGTAGTAGTAGCAGTAGTAGTAATATTCATCAAGCTCCTAAACTCACAACCAGCCAACCGGAAAACAAACCAGAGGTGATGGATGTTGATCCGTCTCCGTCCACAAAACAAGATTCAAATGGCAACGAAGTCTCTCTAAAAGATTATGTTGTTATTAATAAAAATGAAGTTCCCCACAAGGACAGTCCTGAAGTAAAGGAGTCTTTGCCAAAAATGCCTCTTTCCAACCCACCACCAACTCAGTCGGTGAGTGTAGTCTCCAGCAGCACTAGTAGTTCTAGTAGTAGTGGCACTACAGGGTTGAGTGCCCCAAGTATTGATTTCAAAGATATTTTATTGAATCGTGCTTTTAAGTTAAATCCAGCTTTATTCTCTAGCACAATCACAGAAAAAAGTAAGCAGTTTAGTGTGGTTACCTACAATATACTTGCTGACTGCCACTTCCGCAGAAATGATAAAACAGACAGATATCCTGCCGATGAAAAACCTTTTATTGAACTGCCAGCCCGACACAAGCGGCTGATGGCTGAACTCTGCTACATTGATGCTGATATTGTATGTTTACAAGAAGTTGAACCAGAATACTACAGCAAGACCTTGTCACCTGATATGCAAAGGTGAGTCACTAATTGTCTTTCAAATTTTTTTTAAAAATAGTCATGTATACATATTTCATCATCTGAAATCAATATTGAAATATATCTTAGAAAGTAAAATATTAGATAAACTTGAATATTGCTGTGATGTGTATGCTTCCAAACTATTTGTATTGAATTTAAGCTTGGGATTAATTTTTTTTTTTTTTTTTTCCTCCACATTTTTAAATATTCTGAATTTCTATTCCAGATTAGGATATGAAGGTTTCTACAAGAAAAGGGTTCATGAAAATTTTGATGAAGGTGAAACTACTTTTTATAAAACCAGCCGGTTTTCTGATCCTGAAAACACAGCATACAGTCTAAAACAGTTGATAGACAAGGTTAGTAATAATATTTTGCCTTGCTACATAGCTTTCATGCCTTTTTGTCTTTTTTTTTTTTTTTTTTTCCTCATTTAATTTACACAAAATCATGAACTTTTTTTTCTAGGATATCCAAGAACTGAGTCTTTCTGAAGATGTTAAAGAATCTGTACGGAAGTTTATGTGTCGACCAGATGTGCTTTTGGTAACTCGTCTTCGGTGTAAAAATACAGGAAAGTTTATTACAGTTGGAAATGTCCATGTCAACTGGGGACAGTTCAAACTACCCAATCTGCAGTGTGTTCAGGTATTTTTCTTTTTTCTTTTAAAGTTACATAAAAATCATGTTTGTGTTACAACTATTGCAGCCAAGTTATAGATGTATTTGAGCAATATAGTTTTAAGATGTGTAGATAATGTAAGTCAAACTGCCAGAGTTCAAATTCTCACCTAGTCTTTTGCATTCATTTTCAGATAAATGCATTTGGGAAAGGCATGAATGTGTTTCTTCTCTCCTCATTTATAGGTTAAATAGAAAGGGACTATCTAGCTTTGAATTCAAAGCCAAAGAGAAGGCAGGAGGAAAGCACTTCATTATCTTGCCCAAGAAGTCATGTCAATTTACAAATAATAAAGAAAATGGAATCTGGGGAGCAGTGATCACTTGTATCTTCAAGGAACATGACATTAGAAAGATAAAATAGTTTTAGTTTCAGGTTCATTTCTACTCCCATAATGGTCAATGGCATATTTTTAACATATTTTCAGAGGTTACTTCAAAAATAATAAAAATTTTCCAACCAGTAAAACTGTACTCCACTTTTTATGACTGTTTGTATTGCTTTTAACAGTGCCATTTAAATACCTCCTCCTACTCCTCCTCTCTTACTGGCTCTATTTTTCTTTATTTATTAATAACATCAAAATAGATAGATAACCTGGATTCTTATTTTCAAATAAGTCTTATGTTTTGTCAACTGATTTTGATATACAAACTTATGAATGTTATATGGTTTCAGCTTTTTTTCATAGTGTTGTATTAAATACATATATATCTGTGTTATCCATTTATTCAATGTATTTTGTACATGTAAATAATCCAGTAATTTTATTTAGAATTTAAAATGTGATTATATAGGAGATGCTTTTTCACTTAATTTACAATTAGTAATTAGGCTAATTTTTTTTATATATTACATATATCATCTTAAAGCCTATTTAACAACTCTTCAAGTCAGCCTTCTTCATTAAATTAAAATTCTATTTCATTATCACATGACGAATATTGATGCAGTCAAATCTAGAGAACCTTGTAAGAAATACTGTTTTAACTAAAAATTTATTCCATTTAAAAGTAGTTATAAAAAGCTGTTTTTTGTTTCAGATTGCTCGGGCTATTCGTGAGGTTGTTAATAGGGCTGGCAATGATTCTAGCCCTCATGTAATCTGTGGAGATTTTAATTCCTTCCCACAAGCACCAGGTTACCAGCTGGCATCAGAAGGTTATCTGTCTGACTCTATGATTCACTTTTTACAATCATCTAAAACAATGGAAATGCCTGATGGAACAGTAAGTTTTTCTTTCCTAATTCTAAATTAGTCAATTTGGTTTAATTTTCCTTATCGCTGCTATATATATATTTTTTTTTAATAACTCCTGGTTTCCAGTGGTCAGGAATGGAGGATAAATCTTTTGCCTTTTACTAAAGATTTCTGTGGCTGGGTGTCAATTTTTTAACACCAAAGTGTCAATATAGTTGAAAATTGCCAATGGTCTTTGTCATATTTTGACTCCCCCCTAGGAATGTTGTTTTCCTTCAAACTCTCAATTTTATGCCTGAAATGGTTTGATTATGATTTAGGCTTTCTGATTTTACTTTTAAATGAAAGAACATGTTTGCTTTCAGAAAATACCTAGTTTCATGGGGTTCAGATCAAGTTTCCTTGATATTTGTTATTATTGTTGATAAAACAGTCATTTTTCAATATTTTACCTCTATAAAAGTATGAAAATCCATTTTTTTTCAGAGAAAATAAGCTGTGACAAAATAACTTGCCATTTATGTGATGATTTTTTTTTTTTACTTGGGATAGAAAATTTTTACCATAGCAAACCTGAATTGATTTTATTTAAGTTTAGAGGCACAAACAGCTGTGAAGAAACACTGGTTAGAATTTTATTTGTTGTAATGTGTCACACAGTCACTGGCAATAAAAAATGAGTTTTTTTTAAAAAAGTTTTATGACAATCCAAAACAGTTTAAACAGAATCTGCTTTGAGTTGAGAAGTTTCTATGTTTGATAGAACTTGAAAGGAATTGTTCATTACAAATTACTGAAACCTAAACACACTCTTGGATAAGCAATTGGTTTAATTAAATGATGCCCAAGAAAAAGACTTCCTAATCTTGTTATATGATAATACCCGTCTACCTGTTGCAAAAATAGTGCAGCAGATAATCATCAGAGTTGGGATGGGAAGCTCTTCTGCATTTGATGCATTTTCCAGACTTGTTACTGATGACTTGTTTCATTGAATGCAACACTCCTTGTCTGGTTAGTGGTTTCAACAAATTGAAAAGCTTGAATTCATCAAATCAAAAATAAAATTGTTCTTTTATGATGAAATCTATAATTTACTTGAAACATAGGGTTATGTCATCAGAAGGCAGGAAAAATACTTTCAGGACTGAATAATTTTGCATTAAATTACCAGAAACACTTACGTTTTATTTAATTATTGAAATTGATTTTTGTAGAAAAGTGCTCTCATTGACCACTTATGGCAAGGCTTCCAGCACACTTCATCCAGTCTTAAGAGTGCCTATGCTGTAGTGCAGGTAAGAAAGTTTTGCAATTGTGAATTATCAAATTAATATTGCTACATGACTTTTACAAACTTTGTAATGTTTGTGTAAATGTGATTCTTTGGGGAAATATTTTCCTTTTGCTCTTGATAAATTGGTAACTAACAATTCTATACTGAATATTCATTTTAATTACTCATCGATTTATTTTAGATATTTTTGTTTTATTAGTCATTCTGAAATAATTGAAAATTGCTATTTATTATACAACAGTATTATGATTCCTTTATCTTAACATAACTATTTGTTTTGAATAAATATATTGCATATAATATTATATAGCTCAGACCATTTTGAAACAAAATTTTTCTTATTGAAGTCATGAAATTGTTAAAGCAAATATGAAGGTTATGATTATTAGTTTCTCAATGTCTTTTTAGGATGAAGGATTGATCGTGTTTGATTTACCAATGCTCTTTGTTTTGTCAGGATAAAATAGGTTTCATTCCAAAATATGTTAATGTCCAACATATTGTCTGGTTCTGTATAAGTCCTGGAAAAGCAACAATAGCCCAAAAGCTTCTTGAAAAGTCTTGGAATTTTCTAAATTGCATTGCTTACACATGGTTTTTCTCAGTTCATGAAAGTCAAAATGCCAATTCCCAGAAATATGGCTTTTTTACAAGCTAAAAATGCTCTTTAGTCATCACCTAGACTAGAAAGAATAGAAAGAACATGAAGGATTATCTCAGCTGCTATCCTCATTCAACAAGAAAAGAAGAAAAACAAAGATAAAAGAGAAATTGATTCATATTCATTGAATTTGTATTTGAAAAGGAAAATAAATTATTTTACAGTAATAAAATACATTTTAGTTAGAATCTCTGAAAAATTGTCAGTGTTTTTTAAAATTTGAACAATTGAAGAAATTTTATTCACGTGTCAATGGTGGATGAGTTTCTGCCAAAAAATAGATACTTTATGCGTCCAGTGCCAATGTGTATCTGTGTAAACTACATTTGTTTAAATTGTTGCCAAAGGTAACAAGTTTGAGAATCAAATTTGATGCTAAGAAAATGTAGATGGAAAGATGATAAAATAAATGTGCCATTGATGTATCTTAGGCTCGAGAATGAATTTTTGAAAAAATTAAGAATGTTATTTTTAAGTTTGCAGGCTACTAATGCCTGCAAACTTTAAAAATGAAAAAAAAAACTTTGCTCAAGTCAGTTGACAATTATGAAGAGAAAGCTGAGCAAACTCAGAACTTCACAAATATCACAATGTCCAATGTCATGTGAAAATCTGCAAAGGACAAATCCATAGAGATATTAAAAATTGGAACAGGAGCTGAATGCTAAACTAGATGAACTGAAAAGAAAATGTTAACATCATTGTGTTCTGTACCATGTGCAACGAAAGGCATGAGTAGTAGAAATAGCTAAAATGTAGTCTTTTTGAAAATTTCTATTTGTAGTTCTGTTCATTAAAACCATTATACTTAACTGCACAGGAAATATGTGCAACAGTCAAGAATTTTTGTGATATTCACAAACCCCGAGTAATTGCTGAAATGTGTAGCAGTAAGAATTAAAGTGTGTAATTCATGTTTTCAAGTGTAGTAGAACTCCAAACTGTAGAATGCTACACAAAATAACCAAGTCTTCATTCACTTATGTTTTAATCTTCAACACTTTGATCTCTTCACTGCTTTCTATGGCATAAATTATTGGAACCGGCTGTAGCTTTTCTTTGAACATCTCATCTGTTAAACCATTAAAGGATAAATCACAGTTTGTTTTTCAAATTGATGACCATTCACATATATATATATATATATATATATATATATATATATATATATATATATATATATATATATATATATGAAATTATTTATTCAAAAATGATAACATAAACATGTTATAACATCACTACAAAAATAGCCATTTTATTTCAACACTTCTGGTGTCTTATCAAGTGATGGTGTTTGTTTATTGAAATTTATTCCATCCACACATCCTATACTTGTGTGTATGTATATATATATATATATATATATATATATATATATATATAATATGAGACGTTTTGTCATCTGATTGACTTTATCAAAGCATATGTAAGGGTTTTATTTTGCAGCACAAAAAATTACCAGCATTTTTACTTTTGTTTTTTTTAATACTTGTTGCAAAATAAAATTCTTACATTTGCCTTGATAAAGTTCATGACAGGACAAAACAAGTCAGCTGATTTTTACCTTCTTTTCTCTTCTGCTTTCTCCAGTTAGGCTTTTTGCTTGCTTGCCTTTCTCTTGTTGAGAGTGAAGATTATAATTTGATTAAAAAGATATTTACTTTGGAAGGAATCAGCAAAAGCTCTCCTTCAGATGGAAGATTATTGCTAAAGCATAATAATAGTATATGGATGAATCTTACTTTCTGACTGGTTGTAAAGAGCCCAAACTCTTTTGGTAGCACTTAGAGAGGTTTCTCTAGTCAGCAGTCACGTAATATCAGGGTATTTGCAGTGCTGTGTCTAGAAAACGTCACTGCATGTACTTCTGGTGGGTAACCCTGAGTCCACATTATACTTTAGTTTTAACCACCACGTTTTCTGGTTTGTATTGATAATTGTTTTGGTCCTTTTTTTTTTTTTTTTTTTTTTTCTCAAAAATTAAAATCTTCTCATGACATTTACAATTAAAAGAAATAGGAGTAAACCAGTAAACAACAACATTTGCTTATCTCAACCTTTCTTCAATATTCATGATATTTGTACCAATTTCTGTAGTATTGAATCATTTCTTTTGAAATCTTCTTCAGATATTTTGGTGCTTTGTATAACTATTTTAACTCTGTTGCTGCCAATTCTCTGTTCTAGGCTATCTTTGTCAAAAAGATTTTATGATACATATGCATGGCTCTGTTGGTGTTTACATCTGGGGAAATCTAATGGCAAGGGGATCACTCTTGAGTCCCTGGATGATTCTTCATGTGCTTTCAACTTTCTTTATTGCACTCTGTTATCTATTTTTCCTTTATTGCTCCTCTTGTGCCTATAACAGAGGCAAAATACCTGACTACAGAAATATCTCTCTCTCTCCATTCATCTGCGAACATCTTGAGTTTGGTGATTTTAATGCTCATCATGTCAAGTGGCTTAATCATTCTAATGTTACTGAAGTTGCCAGTATTCAGACTTTCTATTTTTTCATTGTTCAATCCCTTAGTCAAATAGTAAATTTCCCTACTAATTCTGATCAACATGCTTCTTTAATTGATTTGTTCCTTATTTTCTCTCCTGACTCTTTGTTGAGCATTCCAGAATTGTGCCACTGATGTTTTAGTACAAAGTGTCTTTATGTCCACTCATAACTGTAGACATGTCCTCAAAGTAGGCTAAGTCTTTGCTCACTGACAGAAAGAGACACTGTATAGCCTCTAACAAGTTTGATTCTTGTGACAACTGGCAGCTTTGTGTTAGTGTGTTAAGAGTAAATCTTCTATCCCTCCTCTCTTCACTCAATTTGAAGTGTTTGTAAATTCTCTTCCAATTCTACTATTGACTCATCTGGAGTATCTTTGTCTGACTTTCCACTATAACTCCATTCATGGTTTTTACTATTATCTCTGAACTGAATCCCCACAAAGCATGTGGACTGTGTCCTAATTTTCATCAATGACCTTCTCAGCTTCATATCTATGTTGATATCTATTTATTCCTGTCTTAATGGTGAGTTTGATCGGTTAAATAAGGTCATATTAGCAGCTGATCTCAGAAACTACCTATAATCTATTAAATGGTGTATAAAATAATTTTAACACCTCCAAAATGAATCTGTTATGTTGATGGAAAGCAAAAAGAGAACCTTTTTTTTTTTTTTTTTTTTTGTATTCCACCAACATAATTGATGTTAACCTTTTATATGAGTGACTCAATGCGCCTTCTTGGGCTAATGTTTTCCACTGATATGAAGTGAAAAGATTAAAGTGAATCAATTGCTATGTCTACTGTGAGGAAAGTTTGTTTATTGTGTCATCAATTTTTCTCACCAGAATCTATCATACATGTCAAATGCATTGAATATTGCTGCCACATCTGGTCTGGTGATTCTGCTATGTATTTGGAGATCTTTGATAAAATCCAAAGAATCTACAATGTTATTGGTCCTGACCTGGCATCTCAAGATTCAGTCACTTTCCTACTTCTGTAATGTAGCTTCCTTGTGCTTTTTTTTTTTCTATCAATATTTTCATGGTAGTAGTTCTGATGAGCTTTTCTCTATACTACCCTGATTTTATGAATTTAAACACACTTCTATTGAGTGGCCCTAAAAAAAAACAAAACATATTTTCAAAAAATGTAATTTTCAGCATTTTATTGAATTGGAATATTAAACAAATAACATCAATATGATTTCCATCATTTGTAACACAAGTTGATGTGCTTTTCAAGATTCACGTGAACTCAATGCAATAACTCCACATTGCTGTTAATTTTAACGCATTCACTCTTTATTTGTTCAATCAAGTGTGTTGCATCTGTGATTTTCATGGAGCACACCTTCTTTAGTGTACCCCTCAGAAAGAAAAGTCCAGTTCAATTCTTTCGACAAAAGCAGATTTATTCTGAAAAAAAATATAGTTAATGAAACGTCCTAAGAGTCCAGGGACACTCTGTAGATCGATAGCTCGATTTCCTCTTTTTTACATTTGAAATTGCTAGATGTAACTAAGTTTTATGCTAACTTTCTTCTCTTGCACTTCTTGCTTGTAGAACTCTCTTCCGACTTTGACCTTCAAAAATTTAATCTTATCTTCTGTCTTAATTCATTTTACTTTCTTTTTTTTTTTTTTTCTTTTTTTTCACTCATTAACCTCTTGCATCTTAGTGGCTTTATTACTTTGTGAAATGATCAAAAATACAAAAAGAAAGAATGTAATTTTTATGCAATTACTATTCTACCAGCTTGTTTTGAGGTGGAATATGTTCAGGGTCACTTAGTTGTTTTCTTTTTTTTTTTTTTTTTTATGGCTATAAAAGTTTTCTTTGTTGCTGGTGTGTGTTCCTTCAGAATTACATCAATTTTGTGTAGCCATCACAGAATCTTAAGTAGTTATATTGGCAATCTCAGTTATAGATTCTCTCTACCTTGTGCTGATTGTTTCTTAAATTTTAATTTTTATCTTCCAGTTTGTCCTTTATGCTCCACAAATCCATGCTTCTATTCTCTTGTTTTTGTTTGCCAGTACCAAAATTAAATATTGTAAATTTGTTTATTTTTGTTCAGGGTCGAGAACCAGATTTGACTACAATGACCGCACACACACGAGAGTGTTTGGATTATGTGTTCTATAGTTCCAGCAGTTTGGAAGCTGTTGGTGTCTTACAAGTTCCAGATAAACAAAGTGTGCTTGACTGCAAGTTCATTCCTAACAGAATCTTCCCATCTGACCACTTATCATTGAAAGCAGTGTTGGCATTTAAATAAGTTGTGACGGTAAAAAAAAATTGTCTTTTTCTATTTAATTTAGATCTTAATTTTTGATTGAATTCAAAATACTGAATCCTATATACATGTATCTATATTATCAAGTGATGTACATGAGGTCATATTAACTTTTATTTTAATTTAGAATTCTGTTTTAGTTCTAAATTAGTCACTAGTGTTTATTTAAACACTAGTGACTAATTTAGAATAATTAAATGATATTGTTAAAATACTGACACAGATCAGCTATGCAATTTAACAATTATAAGTCATTAAATCATACTTAGGCATTAAACAAAAATTTTGATTTCTAATTGCTGCTTTCATATTAAATATTCTTGGAAACACTTTAGAGGCACAAATCCCACTGTTTCTCTGCTTAAACGTTAAAATATGTAGCACTTTAATATTTGCATGCTCTTTTCACTTGTAAAGATTTCTTTCATTGTAACATTGCTTAAGTTGTTATTCACTTTAAAAATAGTTTATATGGTTAGAAAAATAACAGCTAAATGTTTTATTGGTGGTTGTATTCAGAGGTTCAATGATGACTTTGTTTTTGTTCATGTGTTATACATTTGTCATGTATATGTGTGTATGTATATATATATATATATATATATTTTTTTTTTTTTTTTTTTTTTTTTAACTTTCAGATTAATTAACCCAATCAGCAATTTGTCTGTGATGACTTCCCTCCACAAAAATCTTTCTACTGGAATTGTGCATTATTGTCTGAGTGCTCTTTGGCTTAGCATCACTGACACAAGGAAGAAACGGGCTTTAAAGTGACCTTGGCCTCATTCTACTGGAGAGGAGTCATTGCAGTTCACAGCTGCTTCATTGTCCCAAAGAATAAACTGATGGAAACTAAGCATTCTTTAAACAACCTTGGTGGTTTATATTTAATTTTTATCTTATATTTGATGTGAAGGCTGCTACTAGATCAGTCAAATTGGTGACTGTCAGAAGGATTAGTTCTACCAAAGTTAAAAATAAGAGAAAATTTGTCATTTAAAACCTTTTTGTCAATCATTTGTTTCTTGCGTACAATTTCTTTAACACATCATTGTGTATACAGTTATATTTCTGTCTCCATTTCTTTTTAAAAAAGAAAAAAAAAATTATCACTTTAAAATTTCTCGGTAATATTTTATACTATCTGACCTTAATTCCAAATCATGAATATTTTTATCTTTGAAGAACCAAGTTCTAATGAGAAAACTAGCAAGCAATCTTGTATAGAAAAATATAGCCATATTCTTATTTATTCCTTCATCTTACACGCTCTAGTGAAACAGCAGTTTGTGTCACTGTAAGAAAAAGATTCCTTAAACTTTTAAGATTGCAAATTATTTTTATGTAAATTATAATTTGATAATTTTTAACATCCAAAGATCTTTTCATGCCTCATTTTTCTTCAACATAAGAACAGTTTTTAGCTTTGGTTTCCTTTTTTATTTTTCACAAAATCTAAACTTCAAATTATGCCTAGAATTTAAAATGTTCTCTCTTTCCAGAATTGTAAACTGCTGGTCATTTGTCAAGAATAATAGGCACCATATGTTTTATTAATTTCCTTCACCTTTTTTTTCTCTCTCTCTTTCTGTTGAATACCTAATTTACTATTACTTAGTGCATCTCCATAGCTGGATAGGTTGATGATATCACTTTTTAAAATATCTCATTTTCTTTAAAACTCTTTCCTTTCTCAACTTTCCATAATTATTCTGATGTAATATTTCATCCTGACTTGGTCTTATCTTCCTTTGTTCACAACTCTAACCTCAGGGATTTAACTATTCCAATGTTGAGAAAATGTTTAGAGAGAATGAATATTTGAATGGTGAGAGAATTTACCAAATGAATAAATTCCAAATACAGGGCGCAGTGCTTGTGGCCATATTTGATAGAGAAAGTGGTTTGTCTTGTAACGTATGGATATGTAATGAATCATTTTGTTTACAAACAAGTAGTTTTAAAGAACTCTAATTTTGGAGACAGTTCTACAGTTAAGACAAGCATTTTGATTCATCAAATCTTATATATATATATATATATATATATATATACACACACTACTATCAAAAAAATTGATATAAGTTTAAAATAGCAACTACTGTTTTGGTTATACAGTTAGAGCTGTTTCAAGGCAATAGGATATTTGTTCTAAATGCTTGTCTAATATATGTATATACTCAAACATCTCGATGTGTCCATTATCTTAATTTTCTCTTTCCTCCAAAAAGCTGCGGTTTTCCATTTGTACCTATTCTCTACTGAAAACCTTATCTTGATATACCACATGGATTTAATCTTTTTAATTAATGATACTGGTCTTATATCCTTTTATCAAAATAACTTCTGCTCTGCTGGTAGTAAGCAGTAGCTTTATTGTAAACCTTTGAATGTCATAACTTTGAGAGAAATTTTAAAATAATTTGGTTAATAGTTTTATTCAAGAGCCATTAAATCTCATGTTTGTCACAACCCGGTTAAGAACTTGTACCTGCTTTCATATCAGGTTATCTAAGTTAGTGTTAGAAACATTTGCTATTAATAAAAGAAAAAAAAAGGTTAGCCCTTGCTGTCAAAATAATTTCTAGCCAGTACAAAATAATCCAGGAATTATTGTTTTAAGAATTTATAAGCTAATTATATTTTTTAATTATTCAAGAAAATAAAACTAGTTTACCCCTTCATTTCTCACAAATAAGTTTAAAGATTCTGCATCTCTCACTTTTTCAGAAAAGTGCAAAACAATTTAGACCACTCTCCATTGTATTTTGTCACTTATGTTTAAAACCCCTTAATAAGTATTCTTTTTTATTTTGCATATTTGTATAAAACAACTATTAATACATTTTATACAGTTTTCCCTTTCTATCAATGTTTTAGGGACTTTTAGTATCCACTACAATTGCCATATTGGCATATACATTAAAGTAAAAATGTAATCTGTTAATGTAGTGGATATCCGTGTTCTCCCTCACTTCCCATTTTTAATATTGGGTTGGGCAAAATATTTCTGTTTATGTCATTAGGGACATTTGGTTTTAACTACATTTAAAAAAAAAAAAAAAAAAATTGATTGTGTTGTGACAGCTGTCTTAGCAGTATAAAAAAAATATTGTGCTGAACATACAGTGAATGACAATGTGTCAAAAGCTGTTTGTGAAGATTTTTTACTGAACAATGCTCCATGGTCAAGTTGACCAGTAGAAGTTAATAGCTATCACATCATGGCATTACTTGAGCTTAATCAAGGTTATATGACACAGGAGCTAGCAAACATTGAAAATGTACACATCCAGCATTAACAATTATTTACATCAGCTTGGTTGTATTTGTCATTTTAACATGTGGCTTCCACATGTTAAACAAAAATGAAAACCGTCTGGACCATATTTTCATGTGCAATTTACTACTTTAAATGTAAGAAAAAAATTTTTTTTTTAATTCTGTTGGGTGATGAAAAGTGATTAATTTACAATGTTTAAGAGATGGAATGATCAAAATTATCAACCACTAACCGTATCGGCGTCTGATCTTCATCCAAAGAAAATTATGCATATGGTAGTATTAGAAGTGTTTCCCTTTATCATAGTAAGGAAAACACTTCCAATCTCACAATTACATGATTGTAATAAATACTGCTCCCAATTAGACCATTTGAAGGCAGCAATTTACAAACAAACAACGTCCAGAATTAGCAGAATCTTCTATCAGAGTAACATTAGACTGCATATTTCTCTGGTGACCAAGCAAAAGATTGAAACTTGGCTGGGAAGTTTTCACTCATCTGTCGTGTTCAGCTGATACCTTCTGGTTACCATTTATTCTGATCTTTACAGAATTCTCTTAATGATATATATTCAGTTCCCAGGAAGATTATAAAAGGCATCTAGAACTGTTGCTGAAAAGGAAAGTGCTGGGAGGATGGAATTAGAAAGTTGACTGGAGATTTTCTAATAAAAGGTAAACGTTAAATAAAATATCAAAAATATTTAAAAAAAACAAAAAAAAATTGTTTTTATGTTACTTGATAAATCGAACAAACTTTTTGGCCAACCAACATCACAATTTTGGCTTTGGATAATTGATTGCAAGAAACTTTGTCTCATCTGAGATTATTTCTTGATTTACACTTTTACACACATTTTGTCTTGTCAAAATTGATAGCATCAACAATATTGATCACTAGGCTCATTTTAGTTTGGAGAATTTCTATTATCAATTTGGGTTGGTGTAATTTTCAAGAGAAAAATACATTATTCCACTGTCTACCCCTCTTCTGCACACAAATCAATTTGTGTGGTCAGTACATTTTATGTACTTGTGAAGTCTACAACTTGTAAATATTTAAAATAAATTGGGGTTTTAAATTTCCTTTTCTTTTATAAATCTTTTACAACTTCCATATTAAAGATTACCATACAAAAGTAAATACTTAAAAGCTAAATGTTTCCAACTGTTGTTCATTATTAACTTAAGAGTTTTTAATCTCTACATTACAGTAAGTTTATGTACTTGCAAATCCACAATATTCAAAACTAACTTCATCAAATTCTATTTCTTGGACATGCCTGAATATTATTTTCCTTAAATATGTAGATATAAATTGGCATGTTTTTATAAATAAATGTAATTATGTTTATTACTCTAATTTACACCAACACTTAAGCTATAATCTCATGTTCAAACATTCACCTGTTCATCATCATACACTAGGAATTAGATTTGTTTTATGTTTTGCAGTTTTATGTACATGTACAAACAAATTTGAATATGGAAGATCTTTGATTCTCCTACAGTCAATCCTACAGATAATTCTCTCAAATAAATCAGTTTGGGCCCCATTTTGAAATTAATATGGAGAGAAGATTATAAAAGAAAAAATACTTTATTAATAGTAATAAGTCACCATTATCATAAACACTTCATGCCGATCATCATCGTTTATAGTTATTTTTTTAAGGAAGTTCCAACTCAATGCCATGTGCTGAAATTATGCCAGTCTTTTTGTCTATTGTTCTTTGCTACCAGCTGCACTCTTCAACCAAAAACACTCACTGTAAATATTTAAGAAAAATCCAAATTTTTTCAATAGTCCAGAAACAAAATCAGTTTACCTGTGAAATAATGTAGAAATTACAGTCCTTTTTATCTTTTACAAATAAACCTTTTGTCTGGAACGAAAACCCAATGTTTGTCATCAAAAATGTATCATCTCATAAATTCCATGTATGGTGTCACTTCAGGTGTGTATAATAGCTTCACTCTATACCTGATTTAATTTTTCTCTTTGATAAATCTCTACTCCACCCCATTTTTCTTTTGTTTGTTTTGCTTTTACAATCACGTGTGAAAAATAACTGTAAAAGTTCCCCACTTTTTTTTCTTTTTTTTCTCTCTCTCTCTCTCTCTCTCCCCCCAGAAATTCTATTATAAAGATTTTTTTTTTTTTTTTTTTTTTTTTTTTTAGGATTCTTGAATTTTTCTTTCTGATTTTTGCTTTTTCCAAATTTGAAAATAAAAATTTCACGGTGAACCCTGCTTTACTTTAGGTACACATCTTTTTACTGTAAAACAAATAATTGTAGGCTTTTTTTTTTTTCTAGGAGAACCAGGAATGTGTGTTGTAATCAAATGCTTTTGGTCTCAA